TATAAAAGGACTAAACCAAGTGTGCATGGACTGAGTCAAAAGGATGAGTTTTGCCAGTAGTAGGCTTCGGTTTAATACTTCTTCTCCCCTGACCCTAGTGATAGGGCCAACACAGGCCACAGGCTTATAGGGAAAACCAACAATATTAGGTTCACATGGTTTGGCATACATGCGTCCCATTAGCCTATAAAATTTTCATAGAGCACAGTAAAACCGCAACAAATGAAAAAACATTTGGTTCAAGTTACAGTCGTATTTATTTAACCAGCACTTGCTTACCCAAAGGAGAAAAAAGAAATCAAGGCAATGAGGATGGAATGAAATCAACCATCCTGTGATTAGTGAGTAGATTTCAGTGGACAATAAAGCCTTTCGACAGTGCTAGTATAAAAATATGTAAAATTCTTTTCAAGATTTGTTGTGCAGATCTTCCAAAATAACGAGAACCGTTGGGCGACTCCTTTGCCCATTATCCCACATAGGCTGTAATAGCTAAGTGAAGTGAAGGAGCAAAGCACTTCAGCTGTCAGTCTGTGCCTTAAGAATCTTAAGAAGTCAAAGATATATATACATAGTGGAATCAAAAGTGACAAAAAGAGGCAGAAAGCTCCCTCAACTTGAGGGTGCTCTCATTCCATTTTTTTTCTGCAAGCCATAGAGCACGTGAACTTCAACCCACGAATGCTACGAACACACCTGCTGAGACCGTGTGAGCCCATTAAAAACAGGCAGAGGCAGGTACGCTGGGAGATCTGAAGGCTGGATGGAGAGAAGTGGGAGTAACAGTGGGGACAGGGCAAGGTGGAGGGGCCCTGAGGGCATCAGTCTGCACTTGACAGAGAGGTGGGAGGAGTCCGAGAGGACCTGGCCCCGGAGAGGTTAAAAAACTTGAAAAGATCTTTCAGGCACACAACACCCACGTCTTGCAGGCAATAATTGGGGGGTGGGGTAAGAAGCAGGAGGGCCCATGGATGAAAATCTCTGGGTCAGAAAACCATGGAAAAGCTTCAGGAAGGACAGAAAGGAGAAAGGGACATCTGGCGGAAAGCAGTAAGAGGTAAAGGCGGCCCGAAAAGAGGGTGAGGGGCGGAGCCAAGGATCCCGGCAGCCCTACTGCGTGCACTGCAGGGGGACAGGGCAGGACTTTCCCTGTTTTAAGTTATTTTAGAGGGAGCAGCAGTGAATACTGAATATTGTCTTTCTTGGGAAAACCTAAAACACCAAAGTGGTCGGGCTGCCTGAGCTTCCCCCGGTTCTGATCCAGGCACATTCGGGGAGAGACCCCCAACCCCGACATGGAAAACCCTGGGTGCTATGGCTGCAGCACAGTAGGACCAGTGGCATGAAAGGACTGTAACAACGCTTCATTGTCAGTCACTGAATCCTTCAGACAAAAACCTACAGACCAGAGGGACCATCGTGAGTGAAGAAATGTTTGTCAGCTATGGATATGATAGCTCTCCCGAATCAGGACGCCCTACTCAGGAACTCCAGCAACTGCACAGGGCCCTACCCTTGGCGTGTTTACTCTCCTGTCATGTATTTTTCAAGATTTAAAAACCCTACCTGAGGCATCGTACCACGGAGCTCTTAGTAAACTCTCTCTCTCTCTGATTTATTAAAATGGAAGCCTGCATCTCATGCATTTCCAAGGGGTTTTTTTTGTTTGTTTGTTTGTTTTGATGCCTTCTAGATCTTAACTACTGAGGTTAATTCCATTCGATGCAATCACTCCTTGAGTGACGTCCAAGTGCAGAGCCGTGTGCTGGCTGCTGTGGGGCTGCGCGGATGAATCTCCTCAGTGTCCATTTCAGGCTGGGGCGGCCGCATCTCCTTTCACCAGTGTGGAGAGAAAGCAAACTTCTCCATTATCTGACCCGCCTACCACCCCCTAGCAAGTGCTTTTTCCAGGAACACGTTTAATAATTAAAAAGAAAAAAAAGTCCAGGAACTTCTTAATACCTGGTGACCACAGACACCGCTGCGCGTTCATTTCTATGTTCATGTGAGCCAAGGCTACGTCCAATCACTCTTGTCAAAATTGCATAACCACGGCATGTCAAGTTGTTGCTTGTTGCAACTGTGACTTGTAAAATTAAACTTCAGGACTGAGATAGTCGAGCTAAATAAATGCCTACGTTAAAAATATGTGTATATATCATTTACATGCCACTTCGGATAAGCTGGTGAATTATGATCTCTGAAAGTCACAACTGTCACCAGTTGTAAAATACGATTTCAGTGTTGCAATCCTCCCAGCACGCAGGTCCTATCCCTGTCTTCTCAGCTTTCTAAGCAGTTCGTTACACTGATCTATGGCAATCTGCTCTTCCTGTTTTAACGAGAACCTAATTAATCACAACATTTACTTTTCCCACGCTAAGGGACTTCTGACATTCCAAAGAAGGACCATAACATGGCCCCAAACGCCCTTGTTTGGGCCTCCTACGGCTCCACATTGTATTGATAAGTCCGAGTGAAGCTGCCGATACTTATCCCTCTCAGGACATCATGGGAATGAGCCACCTGCCCTCTCCGGCCCTTCATGGGAGGGGCCACACTTCCCTCTCCAGCCTGGGGCATCCCATTCTCTGACAGAAAACACCCAGCGAAAGGGGGCCACTCCGGGCCTGGAGCAAGCTGTTCAGGATGTGACAGCCGAGGCTCACCCCGTCAAAACTCCAACACAAGGCTAAGGCGCCGTCAGCCTGGCCAGGGTCCTCTCCGTGGGGTGAGCCACCCTCTTCCCTGGTAGGTTGTTTGAGTCAGTCACAGCAAATAGTACCAATTAAAATGAACAAGCTCTTGATTTACACCTTGGGATTCTTCAAGAAGCTGCAACTACTTTAGATAGTGGCCTATCAACTCCCAGAAATCCATGCTTCACAATGGAGTGAGACAGAGTTGGGGATGGGCGTGGCAAAGGGTGGAGGGATAAATTACCAGCCAAGCAAACAAAATGATCAGTTCTCTCAACCACTGAAACGGGGGCAGTGCTGAAGCTAGAACCTCAGGGTCTTTCTAGGATAAAAACTTTCAACAATGGCTATAAGACCTCCCTAACCAACCAAGGCCATTTTTCTTGGAAATCTGTCTAAATGGAGATCAGCCTGACAAGCGATGCAGCCCACTCCTCCTCAGGTATCCACGCAGCCTCCAGCTGAGTTTGCTGTCTTTGTTGCTTTCCCCAGCAGCCTTCCAGGGCCTTTCTCCCAGCCCAGGTGGCACAGCAGGAAACTTGAGGGGAGGTTCCTCTCAATGTTGCATTTGTGATTGGTGAAGCCGGCAGTCCCAGCTGTGGCTGAATGCAGATAAAGACACTCAGCTGTCCTGTCATCGCTACTACTTGTATAGCAGAAGAAAAACAAGTGATCAAAGTCTTTGTGAATTTCATGTCTGATCAGTTACTTTTCCAAACAGCCAACACAGAATAGTTGCATAGGATCTACCATTGACCCTACAACCCAGCTCTGGAAGTATGAAAAAGGGAAGAAAACTCCCAAATTGAGCATCTCGGACTTAAGGACCCTTGAGAAACATCACCTCCCCCTACCCTACCCCAAGACAGCTAAAACACCCCAGGCCCCAGTAACTGAAAGGTGATTCTCATTAGGTAGAAGGTGAGCCCCACTGCCGGCAGTGGGGAAACGTCTGTAACATCTGTCTGTGTAATGAACTTGTCACTTCCCCAAACAGTCCATACTGTTTCCTTAAATTAAAAAAAAAAAAAAGGACTACATGAAATCTGTGGTGTGGCAGCCCCCCTCCCAACGTCTGAGTCACAGCCTGCACGTCTTTGCTGAGGTTCTAGGTGACCAGGGTGTATCACTTTCAGAGTTGCCCCAACAGCCGAACTTATGGCTGCCTTCCAACCACGCACAACACAATCGCTGTCTATTTTAAAACAATTTTCCTAACCCGCATGCGATGGGAGATGCCTCCTACACAGGTCTTCAACTTCCTACTGCAAACAAAACATTCCTGTCTCACACTGAGCCTGTCGTCTTTCAGGACTAATGCGTGTGTGTGTGTGTGTGTGTGTGTGTGTGTGTGTGTGTGTGTGTGTGTTTTCGACCATGCAACTCTTGGAGCAAAGAAAGCCACCCCAAATTTTACCATCATACCTGAGCCAATCACGAGCTTTGGAAGAGGAATGAATAGGCGAGCCCTTAAGCCCAGGGACTTCTCTCACGCAAACAGTAAGTGGAAAAAAATAAGATCTCTCCGTAGGAGGAGGAGGCAGGGTGGATGATAGAGGAAGGGCATTGAGCAGCCGACCAAAGGCAGCCAAGGCGCCCGCACTTAGCGAGCTGCCTGCATAGAGAAGCCAAATCTTTTCCTTGTTCAATAACCAAGCACTCTCTGCCAGGCCTCCCATGGGCACGAATAATAAACACATCGAGGTGGGCAAACAAGATGCCCCGAGATCAGCCACCCCCCAAAAGGTCGAAACTTCAGAAACCCCGGGGATCACAGCACCCTCAAACACATCCATCAGTCGCAGCGGGAGAAGCGACTTGGAGACTCAGCAAAGGATTCTGAATTTTGTGGGATTTTTTTCTTCTTCCAAGCTCTGCCTTGCAAAGTACGGCAGCTACATGCAAAGCCAGAGAGGGGCAGGAAGGCTGAGGGCGGCAGGGGTGCGGGTGGGAAGGGAGGGGTGCCTAACACCAGCCACCCAGGCCTCCATCTGACGAAAGCCGTCAGCAGCCCCAACCGCATCCCACCCCGCCGCACTGCCAGCAGACGCCCCCTGCAGCTACCCCCCCGCCCGCGCACCCTGGCTTCCGTCCCCGGCAGCCCTACCAGCCCAGCACCAGCAGCAACCCCAGCCCCGGCCGCGCGCCGGCAGCGCCACGACTGTGGCTCCCATCCCTAGCGAGCGGCAGACACCCCCGAGGCCTCCCTCCCAGCCCACCGGGCGTGCCGGGGGAGTCGAGCCCGGGCGCGCACCGCCGCCAACTCCCCACGCCCCGGGGCTGGCCACGGCTCCAGCTTACCTTGGGCGCTCGCGGGGGGGGGCTGAAGGTGGCCAGCCTCCCGCCCCCCGCCCCTTTCCTCCGCGCCTGGTTTCTTCCTCCCGCCTCCTCCTCTTCCTCCTTCTAACCACTGTGTGTCCGGGGCTCCCCCTCCTCCCTGCGGCGGGGAGTAAAAGCCGAAAACCCCGAAGCCGGGCCCGCGTGCTTGCAGGCGGGAGGCGGCGGCGCGCGGCCAGCTCGCCAGTAACTGAGCGCGGTGCGCGGCTCCCAACTAAAGTGTGAAAGAAGCGGCGGCCGCGACTGCCGCGGCAAGGAACGTCCCCCCCCCCCCCCCCGGAGTGGGCAGGGAGCGAACGAGGGAGGGGACAGGGAGGGAGGGGACCTCCTTGCCCAGTCACTCACTCGAGGGGCGGGGGCAGCCAGACACTCCCCCACTGCCTGGCCCTCCCCGCGCCTGGCTCCCGCTCGTCCGGCTCCCCTCCCCCGGGGAGGGGCCTGCGGAGGCTGCGAGGGCGCCGCGCACCGGAGGAAGGGACCCGGGGAGAAGGCGATCGGGGCTGTGAGGGGCTGCGCGGGGCTGCGGGGACGGAAGGAGAGAGGAGGACCCGCTTGTGTTCGCGTGTGTTTGTGTTTGTGTGATCGCGCGCTGCGGGGCCCGCGGGAGGGCAGAGCGCGGCGGGAAAGCTGCGTCTTGGGTCTGTCACCTAGGCCTTGGGATGAAAGCTGCCGGGCACCAGGAAGGCCGGGAGGGCGCCGCTCTGCGGGAGACCCAAGCCAGTCCGTGGGCCCAGCCCAGCAAGCTGCGCCTGCTGGATGCAGAGAGAAGGCCGGGCATCCTCTGCGTGCCGCGCAGGCCAGCGGCCCAGGCCCTGCCACCAAACCGCCTCCACCCTGCCCTGGAGCGTTGCTCCTGCAAGATGAATGAAGCTTGGGCGACTCAGCACTAGCGGCAATGAGGCAAAGAGCGGGGCGCACCCTGGGTCGGAGACTTGGAGTCCTGCGCCCCTCCCCGCCCTTCCCGGCTTCTGGGGACTAAAGGGCGGAGGCTGCGCCTGCTGGGCACGTCTGGGATGGTTGGGATCCAGAAAGGCTGCTGTCCACCAGTTTATCTGTCCCGCTTTTTGTGGATCCTCACGAGAGGTCAACCAATTTCCCACCCTCTGGGAAAAGGTATTTTTCTTCTTTCACCGGTCAGATCGCGCGTTTTGTGTGTGCACTTAATTGGTCTTTCGGCACTGATAGTGGTTGGTGCCTTTGTGCAGCCCCCGCCTCCGCCACCCCCCACCCCATTTCACTGCTCCTTCATTGCCCTGGACACGTGAGGCATGTCAGACCTCCAGGGTGAGAACACCCGAGAAAACAATGGGGGCGGGGAGGAAGAGCCTCCCAAACAGGGTCCCGAGGATTGCACACAAATCCGGCCATTCCTCGCCTTGGGCCAAGATGAGGTTGGGAGCCGGAAAAGGACATATCGGAGTGTGACAATGACGAGACACTGAACTGGAAAACCAAAGTCATCATTTAATGAGATGAATTCATAGCCACCCATAATGGCCAGGAAGTCCGCCTTTTTCAAAAGAGAAACAATTTTCAAGTGGGCTCCCTTTTTCAATTGAAACGGCTAGGATCACATTGGTTTTGAAACTGACTTGTATTCCATTTTTATTATATTTTTTCCATTACCACTTAACCCCCTTACACACCCCGTCCCCAGCAATCACATCCATGAGTCCTTTTTCCGTTCTGCTCAGTCCCTCCACCCCCAACCCTCCCCTCTACTCCTTAGCAGGCACCCGGCTCTCCTTCTACCAGTCTGTCTCTGCTTCCCTTCTGTTAGTTCAGTGTGTTCATTCGATTCCACATATGAGTGAAATCATCTGGCATTTGTCTTTCTCTGACTGGCTTATTTCACTTAGTGTAATGTTCTCTAGGTCCATCCATGCTGTCACAAAGGGTAAATTTTTCTTTTTTACATCTGAGTAGTATTCCACTGTGTAAATGTCCCATAGTTGTTTTATCCACTCGACTTTTAAAAAAATGTTTTAAAATTTATTTTGTTTTCAGACAGGGGAAGGGAGAAAGAGAGGGAGAGAAACATCAATGTGTAGTTGCCTATCGAATGCCCCCTACTAGGGATCTGGCCTGCAACCCAGGCATGTGCCCTGACTGGGAATCGAACCCTCCACCCTTTGAGTATCCCAGGAGGATACTCAAACCACTGAGCCACTGCAACCAGGGCTCCACTCACCTTTTGATGGACACTCGGGCTGCTTTCATATCTTGGTGATCGTAAATAACGCTACAGTGAACACAGGGGTGCTTATGTTCTTTCAAATTAGTATTTGGGGTTTCTTGGGATATATTGCCAGGAATGGGATCACTGGGTCAAAAGGCGGTTTCATTTTTAGTTTTTTGAGGTATCTCCATATTGCTTTCCAGAGTGGTTGCACCAGTCCACTTTCTCACCAACAGAGCAAACTACTCATACTCTGGTTCATGTTTCTTTTTGGAACCAGAACACTTTGCAGTCCAGCCTCCTCAAGAGGGGTGGTAAGAAGGGAGGGTATGCTAATTCAGATTCCCACCAGGGGCTGCCAGCCACCCTCTCTTACCCTAGGCGACTGGTTTCATTTCTTTGAGCCTTTCTTTCTCATCTGTAGAATGGGATCCACAGACTAGCTCCTACCTCATACGCTTGCTATGAAAGTAAAAGGAAAGTAAAATAAGGTGGCAATGTGTGCAAAACACTGCATAATTGCTGACAAAAACTCAATAAATATGAGCTATTATTTCAGATATATAGTTTAACCCCAAATTTAGTAGACTTTTTTTTCCTCTTTGCATTGTTTCTTAAAGTTGAGGGAAGAAAGCTATCTGCTGGATTCATCCCAAATGCAGTGAACCCTTCTCTGGGGTGTTCAGGCCGTGCCTGGAAACTTCTCCTCCGGTAAAGGGAAAGGAGTAAGTAATGTGCATACGATGCTCTGAAAGGACCCTGCAGAATAGCAAGCTTTTGTGTTTCTCCACCTCCTTCCTTCCCTCATCTACACAGACCACCCCGAATAGGCCGGGCTCTTTAAATGTTGACCAGTGTTGTATTCTATCCTGTGACGGCTGGGAAGAGTGACTGGCGATGTTGATTTCTTGAGGGCAAGGCATTGTGGGTCTTTTTTGATTTGACATCCTGAAAACTATCAGAGAGACACCGCTCAATCTCTTCATACACGCGTCAGTTAAAGGCTATCCATACGATGGCCTTTCAAAGTAAGTTTTCAATTATTCAGAGTAATACATCTTCATTGTAGAATACTGTTGGCTTTTGAACAATACAGGTTTGAGCCGTGCGGGTCTACTTGTACCTGGATTATTTTTCAACAAATACCCGTCCTGTTTTTGCTGGTCTGCAGCTGGGAGCCCACGGGAGCCAAGGGCCAACTGCATGCACTGGTCTATGCTGTTTTATAAGGGACTGAGCATCCACGGATTTTGGTATCCCTGGGGGTCCTTGAACTAGTTCCCCACAGATACTGAGGGACAAGTAAGTTTTGTAGGGAGTCAAAAGTTACATGTGGATTTTCCACTGTGCAGGGTCGGCACCCCCAACGCCTGTGTTGTTCAAGGGTCAACTGTTTTTAGACATTTCAGAAACTCACCCAAGCACGAAGAAAATTAAAAAACCACCATAATGCTACCATCCAGAGAGAAGCACTCGATTAGTGCTTCAAGTATACCCATGTTCCCTTCCTTTATTTGCCTACTATTTCATTACCAGACATTTATGAAGTACCTAGTTAAGGACGGGACAACTTTCCAGGGCCAGAACAGGTTGCACGCTAGTGCTGTTTGTTCCTCAGTAGAAACTACTTCTCCGAAGCAATACTTTATATGGTAGTGAGGCTTTCAGGGCAGTCTACACAAAGTCCGTGAAAGGAATCCTGTGATTAAATGATAGTGCTGACCAGAAGCAACCCAGGTTCCGTAGAGTGTGAAGCACCTACCCTTTGGGGAGCCATCTTCAAGGTGAGGAAGACAAAAGTACAATGCCCCCTGGAAGGAGGGGTCATGAACTTAAGTCCCTTTTGCATCTCCGTATACCCCCTTTGATGCTGGAGTGCCTGTAGAAATGAACTGTTTGATACACATTGAAGGTGAAAACTCATTCCTGGGGTAGATAGAACACCTCTCCCTTCCCTCCCCAAGCAGGAAGAGTGGAGACTTCCACTACCCCCCACCCTGCTCCCCGCACACTTGCTGTTTTGCACGCAGCCACCTTAAGGGCAGTGGAACTAGGGGGACTTCCAGCAACGGCTGCAGAAGGGGGTGGGCAGTGCACAGTGGGTGGGGAGCAGACACACAGGGTGGGGCACTGAGCTTCTGGAGAGCCTCCTTAGGTGCACGTGCACACCGCAAGCCATGCAGCAGCAGCTGCCTGCAAGCCCCTTTGGTCAGCACCAGCTAAATCTACCAGACATTTTATCACAGAGTCATCTCTGTAGATATTCATCATTATTAAATGACTATAAACAGACTGATGTCAAAGGAATGAAACACGATTCTCTGTTTCACAAGTAATCAAACTATCTCCTCTTTGCCCTTCCACTCTACCGGAATCTCTGAATTCCGTAACTTCAAACACTCTAAATATAATTCTTTAAAATTATATCTGCTTTTTGGTCAGTCAAGTTTAATTTTAATCTTCAAAGGCATTACTACCATCATGGATTTTCTTTTATCCTTAACATTTTAACTTATGACTACTTGGCTCCGTAGGACCTTCCGTAACACATAAATTTGAATCTTTTATACTAATTTTTAAGTAGAGTGTTGTAGATTGAATGTTGGTATCCCCCCAAAATCCGTATATTGAAGTCCTCAAGGCCCCCAGCGTGGATGGTATTAGGAGGTAGGGCCTTTGGGAGAGGATGTTGTGAGGGTGGGGGCCACATGATGAGATCAGTGCCCTTATAAGAGACGAGGGAGCTCGTCCCAACCTCCTAGTCCTGGACACCCCCCCCCACCAGGACACAGCCATCTGCAAGGCAGGAAAAGGGCCGTCCCAAGAGCCTGAGCACGTCAGCCCCCGGATCCCGGACTTGAGCTGTGATGTTTGTTACGGCCGCCCACGCTGACTGAGACACACAGGTTCCCTCTACCACTGACTATAAAAAGGAAACAAAGGGAAAATGCAGGTTGATTGAAAAAAAGAATAGTAAAAGCTATGCATATAAAAACAGTAAAAACCTCTTGTCACTTACATAAATCTACATGACTTCATTTTTAACTGATTTATTTTAAAAGGTTTCAATCAGGTTAATTTT